CCGTAAACAAAAAGGTTTGGGAAACCACTCCCCCGAAAGAAATGAAAAACAACCCTGACTTAGAGAAAGACTATATATTTAACAATTTAGTCAAAAGAGACAAACAAGAAAGAATGCCGGGCTTCAAACTTCAGAAAGGTGACAAAGTAAAAATAGAAATACCTAAACGCGACCCATATGAAAATACTATTGACTATGACAACAATGGGAACCCGACAGGTACTCACATTCGTGTTCGTAAAAATAGAAGAAAGTATACAAGAGAATATTATGAAGTTTTAGGCAAACATGGCAAAATGTACACACTGCAAGCAGAAGATAAAACTACTATTGTCAGACCTCGTTTCAAACTTGTCAAAGTTCAAGGTGGTATACTTTCAAAGACAGTTCCTAACAAATATAAGACAACTCCTGACGAATATGCTAAAGAAGTTGAAAATGACGACTAAGCATTTCTATACCATGCGTAAACTGTCATGTAAGGTGGCATGTAGTCTTTACTTTGTCCCGTTGTTTGCGTATACCCTGAAACGCGATGTGTATGGTTTCCTTCTCCCTGTGTGTTACCCCAGAAACAATTTATAGCAAACTGAACGTTGTCTTTAACATCATATCCTTTACCTTTTTTCATTGCTGACCAATCCCAAAATCTATGCTTATGCCAACCTGCTTGAGATGTACTTAAATCTACGTAGTGACTGTGCGCAGGTAAATTTGCACCTGAAATCGTTTTACTTCCGCCTGTTTCCTTTGAAGAGTTTGCACAATACAAAAACCTGTCGACTATTTGAGTCCAAGTTCCAAAACCAAGTACTACTTCTGGTCTGGTAGAGTTCATTGACGTATAAATAGAACCTATAGGATATACTGTTTGAAGTATTTCTGTCTTTAATGTTTGAAGCTCTGTTTTGTCAGCTTTCTTCTCTAACATCGTTGGTAGTTCATATGCTTCAAAGTTTCTGGCATGCTCTTCGATATTCCTGCAACTGTTATCTAAATTGTTAAGAGTATCTTTTACACTAGTGCTTGGATTCTCTGAAGGTGCACTTGAACCAAGGTCAAAGTTCAATATTATATCATCTGCTGTAAAAGTTGTAAAACTTGTATGTGTATGGTTCTTGTCAGCTTTAAGGTCTAAACATCCTGAAACCCATCCTGTATCGGCTTTAGATTTTAAAATCTTTGATGTCCGTTCATGGTACCATTCAACCATTTCTTTAATTTCTTTACCTTTTTCATCCACATATTCCTTATCTGCTTTCTTCACTAACGCACTAGCCACACATGCTAACTCATCGTTAACATATGTTTTATCTGCTTTGCCATCTAACTTTTCTTGAAGTTCATCTACGTCATAGATGTTATGTGTATGATGTTTTTGTGGGTATGTTCTTTCTGTCCATGCGAGAATATAGTCTTTTGTTGCATCTACATACTCTTTGTCAGCTTTGTTGTCAATATCTGCTTTCAAAAGAAGTTCAGATATAGGCTTCTCGTTTAAAGTTCCTTTTGTTGGATTTACACAGACAGTATGGTTCTTATTGTCTTGAAATAGAAACTCATCTGTCATTGGGTTTATCGTCAGTTTTAAGTTTCCTTCTTTCAATGACTCAGATATCTTAGAATAGTTTGAAAAGTTTGTTGTGTTCTTATTTAGAGCTTGCACAATGAGTTGTCGGTTGTGTTGTATTTCTCTCATAGACGCTGTTTCTTTCGACATTTTTATTCTAGATAAAATATGCTTTCAATAGAAAAAGAAAATTCTAGAGTTGCTACAACTAAACCATTAGATGAACTTTTTACTAATGTCGGTCAAAAGTTTGAGACAGAGACCGTAAAGCATGAAGGCTATCGGTTTGACTACCCATTGAGATGGCTAAGAGACCCATCCGTCACAAAAGCTATTGGCTTTCGTAGAATGAAGTTCATTTCAGAAGCCATACATGGTTTCCCATTTACGGTCGGTTTTGAAGTTCGATACTATAACAAAGAAAAACGTACGTATGAGAAATTTGAACAGGGAAAACTTTTACAAGTTAGTTTGCTTGTAAACTTAGAAACAACTCTTCAAGCTTTTCAAGAAAAAATAAACGATATCTATCTCGAATATGCAAACCAGTTTAACATTGACGAAGGAGAGTACCATCTCGATATTATATATGACAGGAAAAATGCAACTGTTAAAATCAATAGAATAGAAGACCTTGGAGAAAACGTTTATATTTCTACAAAATATAACAACTTGGCATGGTATAGGTTTATGAGGATGTTAAATCAGCCTGCAGAATATCCAGTACACCCGAACTTTTATGAAGTCGAAAACCCTAATGGAACATATGAAAATGTTTTCGACTCAGATGCTATTATCGTTCATGCTTCATTTTCTGGTGCACAAAACTCTTTTTTATGCTTGGCAAATGACTTTTACGAAAAACCTACAAAGCTATATGAACCACCGAGTGGAAGTATTTCAGACTTTCAAGTATGGTTTACTACAGATGGAAGAAAGAGAATAGTTCCATTATACCATGCGTTTTACTTAGAACTTAGTTTCATATACAACTACTATCGAACGGTAAAAATATAATCTTTTAATACGGTTGAGGTGTTGGATTTGGTTGCCAACTAGACTGTGGTGCAGGTTCAGGCTGTTGTATAACAGGAGCTTGTTCTTCTGGTTCAGGGTCTTTAGGTATAATACCAACGAACTGACCTACTCTTTTACCAATATTTTTGACTCCGTTCCATACTCCTCTTCCGACAGATTTTATTCCATTCCATATACCTCTTCCAACATTTCGAAAGAAGTTTCCAATACTACTGAAGAAACCCATTTTACTATATGTAAAAATCTAATGTCCGCCTAGTCTCTTACGTTTCCTTCTGAGTTCCATAGCATTTTTTAACTGGAGCTCATACATTCTATTTCTCCTCTGGTAGAAAACATACTCTGGGTCAACTCCTGTGTTCGCGTCATCTGCATAGAGTTGTTTATATCCCACTTCAGGGTTTGTATAAAACTCTTTCCATCTCATATTTGCATACCATGGTGGCAAACCTAACGCAGCGTCATTTGACATGGCAGTTTGCATTTGTACATCTGTTGGCACTTGACCATAGTTTGCCATTGCAGTTTGTATTCTAACTTCATTTGGAATATTCTCTGGGTTTGGTTGTCCAGGTTGCTGTGCATTCGCTAAGTTCTGTGCGTCCATTTAATATTAGATAAAAATATCTCTTACGAGTACATATACTGGACATTTGCAGGCATTGGTTCATCTTCATATTCTCTATATCTTTCTGCCACGTCAAATAAGTAAATGACACAATGGAAAAAACCTAAAACAAGTAGTCCTATTTCAAACCACATTTACTTACCAATAAAATTTCTTTGTTGTGACACTTTTTCCGGTTTATAGGACCTCTCTCATATTCTATCTTGTCATATCTAAACTCATAGTCATGTATGTCCTCTAACCATCTCATGACACTTTCCAAACCACTTTTATCGGATGTAAAGTAAAAGCATGGATGGTTATGTAAAACGTCTAAAGTTTCTAAAGAGTCTCTCAAAGTCCAGTCTACTTGGTATTGAAAATCCCATGTGTTATAGAACGGCGGGTCTACTATAAAGAAAATATTTTCCTTGTCTTTAAATTTTTCATACAACTCTGTCCAATGACATCTCACAAACTCTATACCCTCAATATATTTTTCTATGTTCTCTTTGAAAACATTTGTATAGTTAAGATATAAAACGTTTGACATAAGTGTTTCAATGTCATGAACTCTTATAGAACCACTATATAATAGTCTAGAAGATATACTATCCCAGTCTATATACTCTGCTTTTTTCAAAACCTCTCTGACAATATCTTTCTTATCTAATGGTATACGTTCCATCTTACCTATAGGTATCTTTTCTTTTAACTCTTTCAATATTTTGTTTGTGTCTGGTATATGTTTGAGACGGTTCATATAGTTGTCGAAGTCATTGCATATAATCTTTGAGTCAGGAAATATTGTATGGCACAAATGGGATATATAGAAACTTCCACCGAACAAGTCTACAAATGTTAGACCATTCGGTAGTTTCTTAAGTTCTCTCAATAGAATATCTTTACATCTACTCTTATTTCCAAAGAAGGGTAACGGTGGTTTTGTAAAATTCATTTTATATACAATAATAAAAATGTTTTTACCTGAAAAAGTGACAGAAAAGGCTTCTCAAAGTATACTTCCTTGGAACGCCCGTAACTTTTCCTGTAGCGACGATAGACCCTTACTTGTCCGGACAAAGTTGTACTATTTTTTTTTACCGAAAAGTCAACGACAACGACTTTCAAAAATTTTATGGGCTAGAAGGGGCGCAGCCCCTGGGAAGCCCCCTATACCCAAAAAAAACTTCATTTTATACTTCATTTATACTAAACATCTTCGGGGCTAGAGGGCACGGAGTGCCTGGAGGCCCCATTCCCTTTTTTTTTTTTTTTAAATATAGCAAGCTTATTCAAATGTAAATCTTCAGATGCAAGGATTCTGTGTCATGCGTATTTTTTTTTCACATCTATATAAGACAACAAATAAATATTTACGAAATGAGTAAGTATTTTTGTTACCAGTCTAGTTTCAGATGTTGTGATTTGATCAAAAACAGATTTCTTTGTGAAAGAATTTGTGATAACTTTTGAATAATGCTAATAAATTTTTGAGAGAGTTTTTGGAACATTTGCTTGCTAGGCTAATACAAATGAGTTCCTAAAAGCAGCACGTTTGAAATCTTCTGTAAACATCTCAAAACAACTTAACCGTTATTCGATAATATAAGGAAATAATCCTTTTTGTGATATTTCATATGAAAGTAAATAATTGAGAAAGTTATTTCCATACAATTTTTTCGTCTTCGTTCAAAAACAACCTTCACAAAAATTCAAAAATTGTGAGACTTTCAATACTTTTGTTTACAGTAATTTTCTTCTTAGAAAATAGGTTAAAGTGGAATGAATTTGGATACTAACTTGCTCAAAGAATATGAACTTAAGACAGTAATAGGTGAAGGAGGATTTGCTCAAGTGTTTTTAGCCAAACATTTACCAAGTAACTCAGATGTTGCAATAAAAGTGATTCCAAAAAACGTCGCAAACGAACCTGATCATCTCAAATATATCAATAAAGAAATTCAAATTCTCCGCGAAATCAAACATCCTTTCATTTGCGGACTTTATGAAGTTTTAGAATCAAGCGAATATTTATATATTGTCCTCGAGTATTTAGAAAATGGTACATTACTTGATGAAATAAATCTAAATGGTCCACTAAAGGAAAGGGACTCAGCCATAGTCTTCGCAGAAATCATGCTCGCTCTAAAATATCTTCATACAAAGGTTCATATTGTTCACAGAGATTTGAAAGCGGAAAATGTCCTTTACGATGGTAATCATAACATTCGAATTATAGATTTCGGTTTTGGAAAAGAAATGGATCCAGATCAATATTTTCAGACTCAATGTGGGTCGTTATTCTATGCCGCTCCAGAAATCATTCAAGGACAGAAATACTCATACTCCGTAGATATTTGGAGCGCTGGGATATTACTCTTTGCATTGAATTCAGGCTTCCTTCCCTTCGACGATCAGAATCTTGCAAAGCTTGCACAAAAGATCATTTATCAAGAAGTAACATATCCAGCTTATTTCTCAGTATCACTTAGAGATCTTCTCACAAAAATGTTGAACAAAGATCCGGTTCAAAGGCCTTGCGTTGATGAGATTTTGCAACACCCATAGCTTAAAGACCAAGTTGCTCAAATAGAAGGTATGCTTAACTCAGTTAATATCGATGAAAACGCAATCGACCAAGAATTAAGAAGATATCATTCAGAAGATAACCTGTTTCACAATATTATCGAGCGCCAATACATGACGAACGAGATTAAGCAGATGTTCTTTAAATCAAGACAACAGGCCATTACACGGAAATCTTGCGCTCATATTGTGATCCCAGATAAGACTGTATTGGAACTTCGTAATAAGAAACAAAATAGAGTGAGCAAAGACTTCACTACTAACAAATCTCCTGCAAAACCTCCTAGTAAGGCACTAATTAAGAAACCGAAGTTGATCAAGGTTAATTTTTAATTATTATATTTGTTTTCTGTTATATAAACACTGTTTGAATATTTTTAAACCCCAAATTTATTTACGAATATGAATTCGATCGGCAAAATTAAAAATTAAATCTGTTGTCACTGAAAGAACACATTTTTATAACATTATTAATCAAGTTCTTAAGCGAGAGTGCATTCTGAAATGTTTCACACAAATCTCGTATTCGATTTTTATAAGTTGTGAAAACAGCTGAAGAAAATAGACGTATAAACTTGAATATATATGATGATATAGTGAACCGATATGTAATTTCAAAATAATCGTGATAATATTTCGGATATGTTGTCATGTTGAGTGATTAAAATCGGAAATGAATAATACAATAAATATTTAGTACACAAATCAAACAAAATATAAGAGAGGATAAGTTCCGTATTTTTCGACCGTAAATTTAGCAGGTTTTTCAGCGCAGTAACCTTCGCCATCAACCTGGTAGAACATTCTTTCAGTAGTAGTCAATTCAAGGTGGTCTGCTTGTCCAATCTTCTTTGTTGGGTGCATTCCTAATTGAACCTTCAAAAGGGAACCGAAACCGCCCATTTCAGTGACTTCGAACTTTCCATCATCTACACTGCGGGGTTCTGGGAAATGCCAAGTATCCATTCCTGAATACATACTTGGAATCTGCTGAAGGCAAAGAACTTTGGATTTAGACTTCGGTTTAAGGTCAGATTCGTTGTTTTCGAATGACCATTTGGCTTCTGTGTACTCTTTCAGATTTGGTTGTCCACACATTGATTTGAAGGCGATTGGACCATAGATAGTCTTTGACATGCATCTGCAGCAGAAACAACCTGGATGATCTGTTCGATAATCTTCAAAATCACGTGCAATTTTTGCATCTGTGCCAAATGAACAGTAGTTAGTCATCATGTGAACTTTTGGCTCGGTTTCACCTTCTGGCAGCTCAGAAACTTTCCAGACATCGTGGTTCTTGCTTTGGATGGCAAATCTGATATCATTGATTTTCTTTCCAATTCTCTTTAAGTCTGAGTTGGTGAAGTATGGACCCCAATTTAAGACTCTAGACATATCATTTCCTGTTCCAAGTGGGATAATAGCGGCTGGAGGACGAAAGACTGATGGATCGTGATTCATTCCGTAGTGCTTCATCAAGAGAGGAACAATCCAACTATGGCAGTCCCAACGGGAACCGCGGTAATTTACCGAGGTTTCCGCACACCGGTTCCTTTTTTTAGGAATTTTTTAGATTAAAAAATATGCTTTGTAAATCATTTTTTGTAAATCGGCAAAAATTTGGAAATATTCTGACGACAATAAATCTGGGAATAGTATTTTAAATACGAGAACAACCTATTTAAAAGTGTTTCGCTCGATTTTGTATAATTTCAAATTTTCGCATATAACTTTCCGTGAATTACCGTGATTTTACCGCCACATCAATAGTTTACGACACTTTTTCCGTAAATTGAGTAGTTTACTGCACTTTTTCCGTAAAATTGAGTTACGGGAATCCATAAGATTACCGTACCTCACTTCTAGTTGAAAATAGCATTAGTATATAATAAATAGATATATTATTCATATTTTTGATTTTGAATTACGGAAAAAGTGAGTTCAGAACTTCCAATTATTATTTGATTAATTATGTTAAAAATACTATAAGGAATTAAAATACATAATGTTGAAATTTGAATTACGGAAAAAGTGAGGGTGAAAGTGAAGTGAAAAAGTAAGATATTTTTTGTTGAAATAATCATAGTTGTACAATTTTGAAACTATCTGTAAAGCTATAAATTGAATAAATTCAAAAACAAAAATTGTTTATTCTTATTAATAAATTTATATTAATCAATATTTGAACAACCCGTAATTAAAATTGAATTCCTCTTAAAATTTAATCCATACGTTAATTTTTAATTTGCTCGGCGAATGCCGAGCTTCCCTACTTCTCTTGTCATTCCTTCAAAAACTCTAATCTCATCGCACTTACAAACATCATGATTTGATGTATTGTCGAGAAATCTTAGACTTGTTTGTCATTTGATTATAGCATTTGAAAGTCATCTCGAAAATCGATTAACAAGACAATTTCCCAAACATCTACATACAAGTAGATGATGGTAAACCCATTAGAGTTGTTTTGCTATGATTCCTCCAATCTTATGATGAGAAAAATCATATCAAAACAGCTCTAATCGAACATTCTACACAGCTTAGCATCCAGCTAGTTCCAAGTAATGCGATTACAACATCAACGGCCAAAGCCTTTCAGAGTCCTTTAATCATTTCTTCTCATCTCAATGTGAAGTGGCCCCAAACGAACTACAAGCTGACGTTACAACGCATTACAACCCGGTTAATACGAGCATATACATTAGAACTGCTTTGTTATGATCTCCCTCATCAATTGATGAGAGATCTCATTATGAAGCAGCTCCAATCGAACTAAAAACCTACATACAAATGAGTGAAAACAAACTCATTAGAGTTGTGTTGCTTTGATTTCTCTCATCAGAAGATGAGAGATACCAGAACAAAACAACTCTAATCAAACTTTCTACACAACTCAGCACAGTATCAATGCAAAGTAATGCGTCTGTATCGTTAACAAGCAAAGTTGTTTCGGGTCCTTCCATTTTGGAAGAATTCGGAACAACTTTGCGAATTGATAGTGTAAACCCATATACATGAAAGCGTGCATGCATAAAGACAGGTATTGTCAGCAATGACTACCTGCCCAGCTATGAGTGATCAGAGAATTACCATCTCAGGCTTTTTGAGAACGTTTCAGCCAGGACCCTCGTATGTTGACTGTGAGAAAGGCATCCTTTATCTGAAATAGATGCTTTTCCAACAATCAAATTCGAAGATCTTCGACGTTGTTGTAAAAAGAGAAGGAGAAGGAAAGAAGAGGAAGGAGAGGAAGAAGGAAAGGAAAAGAAGAAGAAGAAGAAAAAAGAAAAAAAAGAAGGAAATATTAAATATAATGCGCACTTAATAGTGCCGAGGCGGCGGAGCCGCCGAGGCGCGATTTTTTTGACCCTATATTACCGCACGGCAATGTTTTTCTCGATTTTGTACAGCCCTAAATCCAACTAACAGAACCATCACCACCGCATATTACAACACGGAGATTTGGATTATTAAGGATCTCTGGGCTCATAGAAGTCCAGGAATTTTGTTCTTCTGGTAATTTAACAATATAAACATCCTGCATATCTTTAATTCGAAAGATAAGCTTAGCACCAAATCCGCCACCACTTTTTGGGTTAACAAAGAACAAAAGAGGAGAAGGCATTCTAACAAATAATCTGGTTTTGAATAAATTTTACAATAGTTCTCAATATAATCGTATCTCAATTTTTATCATCTAATTAATTTAATAAATTATACGATACATATCAAAGTACGAAACAAACGATCATTGAAGATTGAATATACTTCAGAATTTTTGAATGCATTGATTTAGCGAACATAATTTGATAAAATGTTAATAAGAACATCTGAAATTAATAATTTCATTAATTTTATTAACTTTTTTCAGAAAAAAGTTTCAATGTATTTCTGGATTATTATTATTCAACAAATATTTTCAACAACATTTGCATTTAAATTTTAGACTATCATCCAATTTTATGAAAACGGTTTTATTAAATTCCTAAATAGTGAAGGATGGTATTACAGTGAATATTTAACGATAAATTTTCTCAACGATCAGATTCCTAAGAAAATTTAAATCACGATCATTTTTGACATTTTTATTAAGGCAATGCCACACATTTTGAAATATCATATAATAAAATTTCACTAATAAAATGTCCGTGGACAGATTTGCCATAAAATTTACCCTAAATCGGTAGAATAATATAAATCTTCGAGATGTAATGACATGGGTAATGGCGGGAAATTTTTCATATAAATGCCATAGTTTTACATTCATATTTTTTTTCAAGATTTCATATCCTGGTGTTTATTTTAAAAATAAACCAAAATTAACTTTAATTTTTCTAACATGTAATAGTTTTTCTTACAACCACCTAAATTCGTTTGTAAAAAATGATTTCCAGAGGATTTCACATTTTTTTCATCACTCGCATGATATATGTTAATGCTATTGGTTTTACATGCCAATGATTATGATTACATGATACAATATATAATTCCACGCAATATTATAATTTTTTCCTCCCTTCCAAAGTAATTGAAAGAATTTTGGAGGAATATATATATACATGTTTAATGGTCATTCAATTTATTGTGTTGAACATTCAAAAAATTTTCTGCATCAATAATTACAAGTACAGTCTGCAAATAAGAGTCTATATTGTTAAAAATATTTAATGGTGCACTTACGCCCCTATGACACGGCCTTCAATTTAGGTGTTTAAGGTTAATTTTCAATGACGCTTCACGCCAGTTGTCATAAATTTGAATTAAAGTCAAATGGGCGTAAGTGCAGCCTTAAAAAAATGCTCCGATCTTGAAAATTTGCCCATATCGAAAGGTGACTCATTTTCATTAATATTTTTTATTATTATTATTTCTAATGAAATTCATCTTTGAAAATATCAGAAAAAGAATTTTTTGCGCCATGTGAAATAAGAAGTTCAGCTGTTTCTTTACCAATACATAATGCTGCTTTATGAAGTGCGGTTTTCCCATTATTATCTTTTTCATTGATATTTGCACCATGTGAAATAAGAAGCTCTGTTGTTTCTTTACCAATACATAATGCTGCTTTATGAAGAGCGGTTTCTCCATTATTATCTTTTTCATTGATATTTGCACCATGTGAAATAAGAAGTTCAACCATTTTTGGATTTTTGACAGATGCTGCTTTATGAAGAGCGGTTTCTCCATTTTTATCTTTTTCATTGATATTTGCGCCATGTGAAATAAGAAGTTCAGCTGTTTCTTTACAATTACATAATGCTGTTTTATGAAGAGCGGTTTCTCCCCATTTATCTTTTTCATTGATATCTGCACCATGTGAAATAAGAAGTTCGGCAGTCTCTATTCTATTAAATCCTGCTGCATAATGAAGAGATGTTCCTTGTTTTACATCTTTTTCATTGATATTTGCACCATGTGAAATAAGAAGTTCAACCATTTTTGGATTTTTGACAGATGCTGCTTTATGAAGAGCGGTTTCTCCATTTTTATCTTTTTCATTGATATTTGCGCCATGTGAAATAAGAAGTTCGGCAGTCTCTATTCTATTATATAATGCTGCTTTATGAAGTGCGGTTTTCCCATTATTATCTTTTTCATTGATATTTGCACCATGTGAAATAAGAAGCTCTGTTGTTTCTTTACTATTAAGATGTACTGCAAGGTGAAGAGCGGTTTCTCCATTATTATCTTTTTCATTGATATTTGCACCATGTGAAATAAGAAGTTCAACTGTTTCTTTACTTTTCTCACGTGCTGCAAAGTGAAGAGCGGTTTTCCCATTATTATCTTTTTCGTTGATATTCGCACCATGTGATAAGAGATATTCACAAACAGAAGGAATATTAAACATCGTTGAATAAACAAGGCATTTGTTAATAAAATTAGTTTGATCATAATAAACTAAAAATGCTTCAAGATTATTATATTTTGCACAATAATCTAAATCGATCTCTATATTGTGTTCATTCATCAAGAATGTAACAAAATCGATGTTGTGTGAAATAATTGAATATTTCATGCATTCTTCGTGTGGCTCTTGATATTTCAAACATTCATTCATGATCTCTTGATTTCCGCCTAAAAATGAAAATTCTAGACATGTATAAGATATTTCTGACTTAAATTTAGATCTTAATAACTTGAAACAATCAACTGCTCCATAATAACAACATAATTCAAGTAATGAAAACCTTCTATCAAGCGGATATAAATCGCTTTTAAGCGTTTGATCTTTATCAAATCCATCATTTTCGGTGGATTGGATGAATCTTTCTAAGTCATTATACATAATTGCTCGGTAAATTGTATTTCCTGTATGAAGATCCATATTTTTTGTAAAACAGGACGTTTGGAATAGTATAAACATTGTTGACCTCTTTTTCTGTTTTCAGCCGATACAACTCAGTATATGGATCAATGTAGTATTTATAGATACTTCGCAGTTCGTTGTATTTATTTGGGTTAACATCTTGTTCGGACATTAATTTTTAAAAGGATAAATTTGCATTTTAACATATAAATTTCTTTAAACTCATTAGAAGAAACAAATATTGCGTTAGGCATGTGGAAATTAATGATCACATAGTTTTCGGAAATAATGTCGGATCCAATAACTGATCTCAATCTCTATTGCCAAGTGAGGGCTTCGAAACCGCTCAAATCCTTAATAATCTAATACTATTTCGCCAAGAATACAAATTCTAGCTAATTTAGATATATGATGTCTATAGTAATGTTACAACATGCATAAACATATAACCTTTTATATATCATTTTACATGTCATTTCTTGAATATTTTGGCCAAAATTGGGAATTCTTTTAAATTCACAAATATCAGATATCAAAAACAATACTACAATGACACACATTGATTAACAAAAATACATACAGGGAAAAGTTTCGCGTATGAACGTCAAAGATCCAACACGCTTTTGAATCAAAAAAATAATTCGGAATAATTAAAAATTGATAGATATTTATTATTCATACTATATAATTGACAAAATATAGAAAAACATGCTAAAGTTAAAGATCGAATAATTCATAATGTTTTGATTTGTTTCGCATTTAACAATTTCATGGGAGCAAACCATAACATTGATAGAAACTAAATTTTTAAAAGAACTAATACCATGTTCTGCATAAGTTACATCGCTTTGACAATTATTAAATCTAATATTTCCTCCTCCATTAACTAATGTAGAAGGAGTGTTTACAAAACAGCATTCTATTGCTGTTAATGTTGCATCTTCTATCCAAAACAGATAATTCCCTTTTGTTTTATTCATAAAGTTACATTTTGAAATACTAATTGATTGTTTCCACAATTCAAAGAAATTATAATCAGTAATATCATTACACTGGATATAAGACACAGCGGTGCCAGCAGATGGACTGAAAAGAGCGACACTCCCCGCACCTCCCCAACCAAAAATTTTTGATGCATTCAAATTTTTGACAATATAAACTTGATTCGTTAAAACACAGGCGGAATCACCACAATGATCAGAATCAGGGCCACATTTATACATAGTATTCATCTCATACCTAGTGGCACAGTTTGGAGCATATATAGCGTTTCCATATTTTTCATTATCTCTTTCACGGACAAAACAAGATTCAAACAAATTATTTGATATGTTATTAGCTGCATTACTTAAATATATCGCGCCTCCATATGTTTGAGCTTGACAATTTGAAAACTTGTTGCAAAAGATCTCAATTCCACTGTTTTGGTAGTTGATTGCACCACCATTGACTGCTGATGATAAATCAATAAATAAGGCATGTATGATATGGGCATTAAACACGCTCTGCGACAAAGATTGTTTGAAGTATCATGAAAAATGACACTTTTGGATGATATTTAGCTTCAACATTGACAATAGGATCATCATAACAGTCAAGTTGATCCACAAAATTCAATTCAAATTTGGAAAAATTATTTGAATTGAAAATAATCGTATTTTAATTTTTACCTTCTTTCCATCAACATTTCAGTATAAAAAAATTTTTCTATCAAATCGAACAATTAAAATCAGTAATTTCACTTAAAATGTCATCATCATCCATTCCTGAGTGCGATTTATGCTCAGAGCCAATCAAAATCCGCGTATTACAGCCATGCAACCATAATAACATATGTCTACAGTGCTTTATTAGGTTTAATCGCAACTACGGGGAAAATCATTGTTATTTTTGCCAAAATCCAATAGAGAAAACAAAAGAGCCCATAGCATCTACAAACATTACCCTTAGTTATGAGGCTGCACGCGCTTTAAATCCTAAATTTCACAACCAATTTAATATTTTTTATACTGATGATTCAATTTTAGAAGCATTGAAATCATTATTCGAATTCCAATGCCCAGAATGTCAGTTGAAACTACCAACAATTGAGCTATTTTCTTCTCACATGAAAAGTCATAAAATGAATGTTTGTTCTATATGTTTTAACAGCGGAAGATATCCACCAGAAGCATGCCCAATCTTCCGCAAAGCAGACTTCTACGAGCATTTGAGGCAACACCCGAGATGTATCTGTTGCAATCAAATTTTCTTTGATACAATGACTCTTTCTACACATATGAATCAAGATCATATTAGGTGCAAGATATGTGCTGATTTAAACAAAGTTTTGTGGTTTAAAGACGCAAATGAACTTGGTGATCATAATAAGAAGGAAAATTTTGTTTGTACTCATGGTGATTGCTCAGCGAACAATCTTATAGCGTTTAGCACAAGAGGAGAGCTTCTTATTCATCTCCAAAAGGTTCATGGAGAAAGAAACAGAGAAATCGATATTACAAGAGATTTCGAAGGTGGAAAAGTTGTAGAATCTCCTAATGAAGCAAGAGACAGAGCTATACAGCTAAATAAGAAACTTATGACAAGATTAAACGATTGTTTCAAAAATGACCCACAATCAATCCAAAAACTCCGAGTTTACGCAAAGAAATTAATAGATGATGCAATAAACTGTGAGGAATTCTACAAAAACTTTTCCCAAATCTGCGGAGACAAAAAGGGTTTAATTTTCTGCGATATGATTGTTTCTCTACCAGATGCAAGGAAGCGATCTGAATTATTTAGGATTCATAGTAGATATACTTCACCAGAACCTTCGAAACCTCCTCAAAAACCGAAATCAATTATTTCATTAGACCAAAAACAAAATAAATCCCCAATTATACCAAGAAGTCCTCCACAACAACATCCAACTGCAGTTCCTCAACAAGTTGTCCCACCAAAAGCTCAAAATTCTGAAAATCAACAATCTCAAGGTGGAGGAAAGAAGAAAAAGCCAAAGAGAATTGTAATTTCTATGTTTTAATATATAATTGTTTTAAAGATGCGTTATATTATGATAATTATCATTACTTTTTTCAATATTTTTTATTGTTTTTATACGAAGAAGCGAATTATGACTACAGGACAAAGGGGAACTCTTAAGTAATTAACAAATATTGTTTTTTCATTAATGTCCCAGTGAGTTATGAACAATAAAAGATTGAATTTCTAAAACTTGAATAGAAATTAATTATTGATAAATCCTCGCTTTCACCATAGGTACTTATTGATGAATTTTAGATTAATTTTTATCGAATATCATCCACGAAAAAATGATCGGCCTAGCCAACGTAAAAGTCAATTTTCGAAACTGTAAAAAACTTAGTTTATTTTACAGCCTAAGACATATAAATATATCTTTTTTGTTAATAATTAACCCAATGTCACTTTTATTTGAATCCAATGTCTTGGACTAACAAAAAATTGAATGTGGTACAATCTATAATATTGCATAATTATGAAGCAATAATAAAAACAAGTATGTCTACATACTTTCTGAAAAATTTTCAATATAAAAATTTTACAAGCTTTATAATAGGCCATCTATATTTCGCTTAGTAGATTAGGAATTTCATTAATAAACTTGGAATAATATTGTGTATTGTGAATTGAAAAAACCACTCAAATTGAGAACCTTTCAAAAATTAGGATAAAAGGATTTAGTATATTATCATATCATATTTTATGCCAAATAATCCTTTTAATTTCATAAAATCGATTTTTGCATTCAATTTTATATCACTATGAGTTATTTACATATTCTGATATCTTGGATAATTTTAGTCAACTCAAAATAGGTTCAATAATAACTTTTCAATGCTTTCAAAATTATAAATAAAAACCTGACAAATATGAATGTTGAAAATGACAGAGCCATCGAACATGAATTAAAGCAGCATGGATATACAATAATTCTAACCATATCAGATACCCCTTCCTCTAAGCATATAGAAGTTACAAAAGGAAAAGGTTTTTCATTTGACGCAAAAATATACAAGTTAAAAGGTAACTACAGGGCAATGGAATGCTATAATAACGAAAAAGATATTCTTGGATCAGTAATTCATCCAAATATCGCGGAAACGTTTGATTTTTTTACATCCAAAAATCATGCATTTTTAATCTTTGAATTATGCAAAGATCTTTCCTTAGAGACACTTGTTAGTATACCATGTTCGTGCACCGAGAAATCAATATATGGGTATATATCCCAAATTATTCATGGAATATCACATTTACATGCAAACAGTATAGCTCATAATAATATTAACCCAAGTAATATTATGTTTGACAGATTTGGCAGAATCAAAATTGTTGATTTTGATCATTCTATTTTTACAAATGATCAACCACTTTGTTCATTCACAGGAACAACCAGATTCCCAAGAGCTCCAGAATCATTAAACTCCAAACTGTATGATCCTATCGCCGCAGACATTTGGGGTTTCGGCGCAGTTAGTTATTTCTTACTCAGTGGGGAATATCCATGGAGCCCAGAGCTAGAATGCAGTTACTCTGAGGCAATAACGAATTCCATTAAGAAGATTTACGGTAAATTCGATGAAAAGTTAATTCAGTTAATTGTGAATTGTCTTTCAGAGAATCCAACTGATAGACCTTCATCTGCTGCTATACATTCATACCTATCGAATAGCGCAACACTAGGACCACTTTCTAAAAAGTGTATCAAAAAACAGAGTTCAAACGTGACAATACCAAAGATAAAGAGAATCTCTTCCAACACACAATTTAGAATATATTCTTCATCAGGAAAATAATTTCACCAAAGTTTATTTTCCTTATTTGTATTGTAGTAAATTTCATCATATTATTTTTCATTCATATGACTATTTAATTGTTTTGATTTTTATAAATAGATGTAGTATGTACTTACATCAGATAGTCAATGAAAAATGTCAATGATATCAAAATATCGAAAGCATTTTTACTCTGTTTTCAAAGTTTTACCTCATACATCACATCAATAAGTAGTGATATTATCATACCAATACTTTTAATTACAATTCATTATGAAAAAATAATAATAAAGGTATTAAATCGCTTTTTTACACTATAATTAATGGCATTACCGATAAATAGGTATCATTCATAGATGTAAATATAAGTGTATGAACGACAAAGATGCTGATCTTAAATTTCTAGATGAAATGTTGTTTAGTGATTGGATTTCTATAAATTTTGTTAAATTTACGATTAATGTGAATTCAAATATTCAAAAATAGTCAATTATGTAAAAATTTATATAGTTATTGTGAAATATTGCTTAAATCAGGATGTCGATGAAACAATAACTGTACGATAAATAAAAACCGTCAAATTTTATTATGAGTGAAGTTAACTTGGCAAAAATCATCGAAATTCAAAAGGTTCTTTATGAGCTCAACAGTTCCAACATAGAGCATGTAAAAGAGGTTATAATAAACTCACCATATATCGCAGATCAGCACGGAATGAGAGAAATCACACATGAATTTTGTTATGTTGTACAAAAATACCCAATTGATGTCAGACTACTTGCAGCACTTCTTAAAGAAATCGATCAAGCAGACGAAAAGTTCGGAAAGCTCAAAGTTTTTCTTGCGGAAGAAATTATTAACCCAGCAAGAGAAATCAACAACACATCTAAAGCAGGACCATTTAGATTATTGCGTTACTGCTACTTAAACGGCTTATATAATGACACAAATATTTTTGATTACATCCAGAGGTTCCCCAACTCAAGGAAACTTAATTTCTTCTTGTTATTCTGCTTCCTTGAGCCAGAAATTCAGTATAAATCGCCAGAATTATTCGGAAGACTTAAACAACAAATAGAATCTTTGAAAATTTCAGATAAATACATACAAAACGCAATCACTAACTTCAACCAATTGCCATTACTCGATCTTATTGAGTTTGGCTGTGAAAAGAACTCAGTAAATTATCAAATTCGATACGAAAATTCAAATGACGTTCCAGATGACGCTCCTGTACCATATAATCCATTCGAATCCATCATACGCAAGTTCTCTAATGCCAAAGAATACAGGGAATTCCTTCAAAATCCTCACAAACAGCCAGAAAAATTAACAAAAGCAGAATTCCTCGAAGCAGCACTTACAAACGACATAGAACTGGTATCCAAGTGCATACAATCCGGTATCCACGTCGATGCCGCAGACGGAAGAGGCCAAACCGCATTAATAAATGCCGCATCACAAGGACACTGTTTCATGGTCGATTACTTACTCTCGTGTGGAGCCAAGGTCAATAAGAAGGGATCTTGGGGCGAAACATGTCTCCACACCGCAGCAAAGTGCGGATCTTTTACAACCGTCGAAACTTTGCTTAGCCACGGCAGCGACATCTACTGCGAAGACGAGAGCAGATGGACACCATTCTTCGACGCGATAGATGCAGGAGCTCTTCCTGTCGCCGTAATTTTGGCAACAAAAGGAACTGACCTGAATCGCTGCGCCAGGGAAGGCCAAACACCACTGCATGTTGCTGCTATGAATGATTACATCGCAATAGCAGAGTTTTTGGTCACAAACGGTGCAAAAGTAGATTCGATGGATGATCAAAAGAGAACTCCACTGATGGTGGCTGCATCAAGAGGAAATATCCAGATAATACAGTTCCTCGTTGCAAGTGGTGCTGTTCCTGATACAAAGGACTTGAATGGAAGAACAGCTCTTCACCACGCTGCAAATGCTTCGGATGTAAGTGTTGTTGAGGCCCTCCTGAACTTGGGTGCTCATCCTAACTCGTCTGATTCGTTCGGAAGAACTCCTCTGATGGTTGCTGCAGCTGCAAATTGTTTGGCGTGCGTGGAATGCTTGGTTTTCAAGGGAGCTGACGTTTTTGCAGTGGATACGGCTGGAAAAACAGCTCTAGAGTATACAACTAACGAGGAGATCAAGGAATACTTGGGCTCTCTTGTTTGAAAAAAAAAAGTAAATTTGATAATAAAAAAATAAATTATAAGTTATAATTAATAAAATTCTTTATTCCCTAGTATATCATTGTTTAATACTAATAACATGTATCAATTCCGTTTCAATGATCAGATAAAGTAAAAACAATATTAACTCCTTTTCCTTCGTAAAGTCACTTATTCAAAATTTTGATAGAGGTTCGCGAAATATTTAGAGCAGAAAAACGATAGGGAGATTTTTCGAAAAAAAATGAATCCCCTAATTTTAATTAATATTTAATGAATTGAATCTTTAATTGTACACTTACCACTTTCTGACACACTCTCAATTTTTTGACGCCCAAGCTTTATATCACAATTTTCTAAGGTCAAAAGTTACTATTTTTGGTCAGGATAAAGTAATTATAAATCATTATATAGTATTGAATCTGAATGTTATACTTTTCAAAAAAGGTAGTGGGGCCTCCAGGCACTTCGTGCCCTCTAGCCCCAAAGATGTTTAGTATGCAATGAGGTATAAAATGAGGTTTTTGGGTACTGTCGGGCTTCCAGGCACTTCGTGCCTTCTAGCCCTTAAAATTTTTGAAAGTCGTTGTCGTTGACTTTTCGGTAGAGGACTCAAAATAGTATAACTATGTCCGGACAAGTAAGGGTCTATCGTCGCTACAGTAAAGTTACGGGCGTTCAAAGAAGTATACTTTGAGAAGCCTTTTCTGTCACTTTTTCAGGAAAAAACATTTTTATTATATATATAAAATGAATTTTACAAAACCACCGTTACCCTTCTTTGGAAATAAGAGTAGATGTAAAGATATTCTATTGAGAGAACTTAAGAAACTACCGAATGGTCTAACATTTGTAGATTTGTTCGGTGGAAGTTTCTATATATCCCATCTGTGCCATACCGTATTCCCAAACTCAAAGATTATATGCAATGACTTCGACAACTATATGAACCGTCTCAAACATATACCAGACACAAACAAAATATTGAAAGAGTTAAAAGAAAAGATACCTATAGCTAACATGGAACGTATACCATTAGATAAGAAAAATATTGTCAGAGAGGTTTTGAAAAAAGCAGAGTATATAGACTGGGATAGTATATCTGCTAGACTATTATATAGTGGTTCTATAAGAGTTCATGACATTGAAACACTTATGTCAAACGTTTTATATCTTAACTATACAAAGGTTTTCAAAGAGGACATAGAAAAATATATTGAGGGTATAGAGTTTGTGAGATGTCATTGGACAGAGTTGTATGAAAAATTTAAAGACAAGGAAAATGTTTTCTTTATAGTAGACCCACCGTTCTATAACACATGGGATTTTCAATACCAAGTAGACTGGACTTTGAGAGACTCTTTAGAAACTTTAGACGTTTTACATAACCATCCATGCTTTTACTTTACATCCGATAAAAGTGGTTTGGAAACCGTTATGAGATGGTTAGAGGACATACATGACTATGAGTTTAGATACGATAAGATAGAATATGAGAGAGGTCCTATAAACCGGAAAAAGTGTCATAACAAAGAAATTTTATTGGTAGGTAAATGTGGTTTGAAATAGGACTACTTGTTTTAGGTTTTTTCCATTGTGTCATCTATTTCTTTGACGTGGCAGAAAAGTACAGAGAATATGAAGATGAACCGATGCCTGCAAATGTTCAGTATATGTACTCGTAAGAGATATTTTTATCTAATATTAAATGGACGCACAGAACTTAGCGAATGCACAGCAACCTGGACAACCAAACCCAGAGAATATTCCAAATGAAGTTAGAATACAAACTGCAATGGCAAACTATGGTCAAGTGCCAACAGATGTACAAATGCAAACTGCCATGTCAAATGACGCTGCGTTAGGTTTGCCACCATGGTATGCAAATATGAGATGGAAAGAGTTTTATACAAACCCTGAAGTGGGATATAAACAACTCTATGCAGATGACGCGAACACAGGAGTTGACCCCGAGTATGTTTTCTACCAGAGGAGAAATAGAATGTATGAGCTCCAGTTAAAGAATGCAATGGAACTCAACAGGAAACGTAAGAGACTAGGCGGACATTAGATTTTTACATATAGTAAAATGGGTTTCTTCAGTAGTATTGGAAACTTCTTTCGAAATGTTGGAAGAGGTATATGGAATGGAATAAAATCTGTCGGAAGAGGAATTTGGAACGGTGTCAAAAATATTGGTAAAAGAGTAGGTCAGTTCGTTGGTATTATACCTAAAGACCCTGAACCAGAAGAACAAGCTCCTGTTATACAACAGCCTGAACCTGCACCACAGTCTAGTTGGCAACCAAATCCAACACCTCAACCGTATTAAAAAATTATATTTTTACCGTTCGATAGTAGTTGTATATGAAACTAAGTTCTAAGTAAAACGCATGGTATAATGGAACTATTCTCTTTCTTCCATCTGTAGTAAACCATACTTGAAAGTCTGAAATACTTCCACTCGGTGGTTCATATAGCTTTGTAGGTTTTTCGTAAAAGTCATTTGCCAAGCATAAAAAAGAGTTTTGTGCACCAGAAAATGAAGCATGAACTATAATAGCATCTGAGTCGAAAACATTTTCATATGTTCCATTAGGGTTTTCGACTTCATAAAAGTCCGGGTGTACTGGATATGCTGCAGGCTGATTTAACATCCTCAAAAATCTATACCATGCCAAGTTGTTATATTTTGTAGAAATATAAACGTTTTCTCCAAGGTCTTCTATTCTTTGATTTTAACAGTTGCATTTTTCCTGTCATATATAATATCGAGATGGTACTCTCCTTCGTCAATGTTATACTGGTTTGCATATTCGAGATAGATATCGTTTATTTTTTCTTGAAAAGCTTGAAGAGTTGTTTCTAAGTTTACAAGCAAATTCACTTGTAAAAGTTTTCCCTGTTCAAATTTCTCATACGTACGTTTTTCTTTGTTATAGTATCGAACTTCAAAACCGACCGTAAATGGGAAACCATGTATGGCTTCTGAAATGAACTTCATTCTACGAAAGCCAATAGCTTTTGTGACGGATGGGTCTCTTAGCCATCTTAACGGGTAGTCAAAACGATAGCCTTCATGCTTTACGGTCTCTGTCTCAAACTTTTGACCGACATTCGTAAAAAGTTCATCTAATGGTTTAGTTGTAGCAACTCTAGAAGTTTCTTTTTCTATTGGAAGCATATTTTATCTAGAATAAAAATGTCAAATGAAACAGCGTCTATGAGAGAAATACAACTCAACCGACAACTCATTATACAAGCTCTAAATAAGAACACAACAAACTTTTCAAACTATTCTAAGATATCTGAGTCATTGAAAGAAGGAAGCTTAAAACTGACATTAAACCCAATGACAGATGAGTTTCTGTTTCAAGACAACAAGAACCATACTGTTTGTATAAATCCAACAAAAGGAACCTTAAACGAGAAACCTATAAAAGAACTTCTTTTGAAAGCAGATGTTGACAACAAAGCTGACAAAGAGTATGTCATTGAAAAAGTTCAAGAAGAACATGACAGAGCAGATGCAACATATGCAACAAAAGAACATACTCATCCTGAACTAGCAGATAAAACATATGTTGACGATGAGTTAGCATGTGTGGCTAGTGCGTTAGTGAAGAAGGCAGATAAGGAATATGTGGATGAAAAAGACAATGAAATTAAAGAAAGGGTTGAATGGTATAATGAACGGACAACAAAGATTTTAAAAACTAAAGCTGATACAGGATGGGTTTCAGGGTGTTTAGACCTTAAAGCCGACAAGAACCATACACATACCATTGCAAATATTACAAACTTACAAGAAACCTTAAACAGGAAAAGTGACGTTGGACATACACATACCATTGCAAATATTGCAAACTTACAAGAAACCTTAAACAGGAAAAGTGACGTTGGACATACACATACCATTGCAAATATTGCAAACTTACAAGAAACCTTAAACAGGAAAAGTGACGTTGGACATACACATACCATTGCAAATATTACAAACTTACAAGAAACCTTAAACAGGAAAAGTGACGTTGGACATACACATACCATTGCAAATATTGCAAACTTACAAGAAACCTTAAACAGGAAAAGTGACGTTGGACATACACATACCATTGCAAATATTACAAACTTACAAGAAACCTTAGAGACAAAAGCAGATAAAACATATGTCAATGAAATATACCAAAGTTTAGTTGGAACAACAAAAAATATTGAAACTATGGTTGGTGACTTTTCTGTCAATGAAGAAAACAAATATTTTAGATGGGAGTTTGTACATTCCTTAAAAAATGGTATACGGTATAAACTCATTCCGAAAAATAACAATGAAATGTATGTAAGCTATAAAAAGAACGATGGTACACAAGTTAAAGTTCCATTAGACAACAACTGCTACTTAAACTTATATGGAGACGAACAAAAGAAATATTTAAGAGTTTATGAAATGGCAGATATGACATTGCCTGACCCAGCTCCAACACCATATTATTATAAGTATGGAGATGACGACAAAACACCACATGTAGACCCAAAAAAGCAAACATTATATTTAGAATATTATAGATATAAAAGATATAATGCAATAGAAAAAACGAGAATAGTATACTATTATGAAGATGACAGAAATAAATATTATAGTCAAGACTTTACCTACCCTGAAAACATAAGATTATATTATAAAAAATATTCTGACACAAACCAGAAGAAACCTGAAATAGTTGCACTATATCTTAAGTTCAAAAGAGACAATCCTATAATATCTCATATGTTTGATTTAATGAACCCAGTAGGTTCTATTTATACATCTATGGATGAAAGAGGTCCTCAAGCAATGTTTGGTGTTGGTGCATGGGAACAAATACTCGAAAGGTTTTTGTATTGTGCAAACACTCCAAAGGAAACAGGTGGAAGCAAAAGGATATCTGTCGACAACTTGCCACCACATAGTCATTCTGGTACAACAAGTTCTAATGGAAACCATAGTCATAGGGTTTGCAAACA